TATGTTTTTTTTTAATATGCAGATAATGATGAGTTGTTGTTTTTTCATAAGCAGAGTCGTCCTCACAACATCCAAGTAAGCAAATCGGCGGATCTTTGTTTTGGTCTACACAACATGCGAGTAAGCATATAGACGGATCTTTGTTTTGGTCGTGGGTCATCTTGACCCATGTCATCCACCGATTACCCTTCTCTGAATTACACGCATGTGTTGCTATAGTGACAATACGTGTTCGGGATAAGAGCTTACAATGTCCTGATTAGTGTCCAAGCTTTGAGGCACTTTTGCCTAAAGTTAAAAATTAAAAATCTCATTCCAGCCGACTGTTCCAAGGAAGTGGTTTCAACCATCATTTTGACCCCATGACCGTGAACTCACCAATAGCCTTCACCATCTCCAATTTGAGGCACTTTTGCCTAAAGTTAAAAATTAAAAATCTCATTCCAGCCGACTGTTCCAAGGAAGTGGTTTCAACCATCATTTTGACCCCATGACCGTGAACTCACCAATAGCCTTCACCATCTCCAGTTTCCACGTGGAGTTGTCAAAACTTATTTACTGCTAAATCTGTTTGTTTTTTAAACACATATTAGACTTGTCAATTTGTATTGGAATGTTCACACATTGACATGGTACTAGCATAGCTTGACACCACCATGACCGCTGCTGAAAACATTTTGACGCTGTTTGCAGTAGTTTTTTTTGTCTGTCGTTGGTGGTGACAATGAGGACCATGTTTCCGTTATGAAAAACGACCGGGAACCAAACTTGAGAAGCCTCGTTATAGGCATCCACTATGCACTCGACACACGTTAACCAATCATAGAATTAACAAATTTACCCTTCAAGAAGGGCTTGAAAAATAGTCTTTTAGACTCATTAATTTGCTCCTCTCCACGGAAATCTTTAGTAAAAGGCGAAAGATTTAATCGTTGTGAAGAGAAACCAGAGTACAAACTAATGGTTTCAAAATGGTCTCTACTTTACGTAAGCTCATTGAAATTTGAGTTCCAATACTTTTGTTATTACATAAAATATAAGCAGTTAAAAATATATACTTGATACGACAATAAAAATATTTATGATTTTTAAAACTAGTATTTAAATTGTTACAAAATTGTTAGAAAAAATATTGAATAGTCAAATTCTATTTAAAAATATTTCAATAAAAATAAAAATTATTTAATAACCTAAGTTAGCTCTCTTAAAAATGTAATGCGTCCGAGTTATATCCCTTTACTTTTTACAATTTTTAAAAAAAAAATTAATAATTTAATATTAAATTAACAAAATGCAGTGTAAAGACTACATTTGGAAATTTGTTTTTGGAAAAGGCAGTGGAATCACAAGGGTTGGTGTCTCCCTCTATTGTAAACTCATGTTGTCACCCCCTCCAGACTACCATCTTTGAACTCCTCCGATTCTACCTGCTCTGGTGACACACTGCTATGGTGGTAAACCTTCTCTGGTGACACCCTAATCTGAAGGTAAATCTTCGCCTTCTCTGATGACACATTGGTGTTTAATTTAACACAGATCCGTTATTAGCCGTTTTCGAGTGATTTCCATTTATTTTTTATTTATTTTAATTTTATTTTTTTCGGTGTTGCAGGTTTCCAATCAAATTAACCAGAGCTCAGAAGAATATCATGTTTGATTGCGTAAGTCGCTTAAGAAGATAAAACTAAAACCCTTCTTCTGATAAGGTGTGTGTTTAAAGACCCCAATCGAGATTATTAGCTGTGATCTTCTTAGGCCCATATTACAAGCTGCCTGAAGCTCATAAAATCATTTATTTTAACTTCGCTTTATTCGTGTATTTCTTTCTTTCTTTGTGTCGGCAAAATCTTCGGCATAATAAATTACCCACTTTCCGTTATCCTATCGAGCTGAAACTTGGCACATAGACTCGTAGCCGATGACAAGAACATCGTTCACATTTTTAACCCCACCGCAAACCACCAAAATCGCTTCGTGTGTGTGTTTCTTTGTGTCGCAAAATCTTCTGAAGACTAATTGACCCACTTTCCGTCATCCTATTGAGTTGAAACTTTGCACATAGACTCGTTGCAGTAGACAACAAATTCGATCAAATTTTCAGCCCCACACCCAAAAGTGTGCCGTTCATGTTTTTTTAAGAGGATGATGAATAAAATATGATTTATTTACTGATTGTATGTTTTGCGTTTGAGATTAACTATGTAGCTGTTGCCAAGTACTTTGTATTTGTGACGTATTTGAAAGCAGTATTTAAAAAAAAGGTGTTTTTTACGGGGGAAAATTGTAACGTGTTTGCGCCAGAATTTTACCCATTTACGAAACCACTTCTAAATAAATGTTATATAACGTACGATTACATAAATACAGAAGATATCCATGGAATTTGTTTCAATTAATAAATTCGACTAAGAACCAGGCGTGAGAAGCCTTGTAAGGTATCCACACTGCACTTTTCTCAAATTAACTGATCATAGAATTAACAATTTTACCCTTCAAGAAGGGCTTGAAAAAATGCCTTTTTCTTTTGCGTCCCTGTGACAACAGAAAGATAAGAGGACAGAGAGTACAGAGAGGACAGTGTGGACAGACAGCTCTTGACAGTTAAAATCGGCTTGAAAATTGGCGTCTACATTTTTTGAGCTCAATAAAATTTTAGTTTTATTATCTACTTATTACAACAAATAATAACATTTTAAATAATCATATCTTTATAGACTCATAAATAACAGTTAAAATCGGCTTGAAAATTGGCGTCTACATTTTTTGAGCTCAATAAAATTTTAGTTTTATTATCTACTTATTACAACAAATAATAACATTTTAAATAATCATATCTTTATAGACTCATAAATTTTGAACACAAAAGTTAATCAATAATTTTTTCAAAATAAAATATAGCCGTAAATGTATATATTTTAAAGTTGTTTATTTAAAATTTTAATGTAAAAATAAAATATGAAATGACCTAAGTTATCTCTTTTTATTATTTAATAATTACGAGTTAAAGCCCTGAACATTTACTTTTTTTCTTCTTTTTTTTAAAACTGTTTTAATTTGAATTGAAGACAAGCATTTGCAACCCGAAATATATCATATGATGGGCCTAATAGTTACCAATTTTTAAAGGGAAGTGTCTCAATTTTTTTAATTTAAGAAAAGGTTACTTCGGTTTTTAAGATACAACAAAGTTTTGATAACTATAATGTAAAATGAATTAAAATTACAACCACTGTCTACCGAGCAAAGGAAGTTTAATAGGTTTTCTTGAATCATCCACTATTCTGTGCTACCGCTGCTTGCATGACCTGGCGCCGTTCTATCTCAAAGTGCTCGTGATGCCTTATGTAGCTACCCAGCTATGGCTGGTATTGTCCATGATTGGGTTGTATGCAACTTTTGTATTGTTACATTTTGTATTTTATTGCGCTTCCAGCCCAATTAAGAATAAAGTGTGTTTTTTAAATGTACTTTATTATTATTATTATTATTATTATTATTAAGTAAAGGAGATCAGCTCTATAAAATGTTCAAACCTTGTTGACCTTGTTCACAATAAATTATTAAGTTTCAAGGAGTAGGCGCGTAAATAAAATTAACGCTATAAAGAATTGCAAGTGACAACTCCTACTTGACTTGATCGGATAGATCATGTCTTGCTGATCTCCCTTGCCTTTAACATCGGTTTCACATTTTAACAGTTGATTAAATTATAGCCATGTGCAGTGACGGCCGCATAAAAAATAATCATCAGTTGACAACAAGAAGTATAAAGGTTTGATTAAATAATTAATACCCTTCGCCACACCTTTTTCTACTGCAATGGCAACCTCAAAAATTATAAGTACAAATTTTTAATTTTTTTTTTGGGAGGGGGGTGGGGTCATCATACGTGTGTGTCACCAGGGATGAAATTAGTTGTGAAACCAATGTACTTCAAGGTCTACCAGGAACTTTTATGGGTTTAATGACAGCAGGCAAGGAGTTAGGAGGTCCTTCAAGATTAAGTAATGTATTGTTTACTCTATTTCTATCTTGACTCTGTCTTTATTGTATATAAAATTTTGAATAACTTTAAATTATTTTATATACTTAAATAACGAAGTGAGTGTGTGTATGTTTTTTTTTTTTAATATGCAGATAATGATGAGTTGTTGTTTTTTCATAAGCAGAGTCGTCCACACAACATCCAAGTAAGCAAATCGGCGGATCTTTGTTTTGGTCTTCACAACATCAAAGTAAGCATATAGACGTATCTTTGTTTTGGTCGTGGGTCATCTTGACCCATGTCATCCACCGATTACCCTTCTCTGAATTACACGCATGTGTTGCTATAGTGACAAGACGTGTTCGGGATAAGAGCATACAATGTCCCTATTAGTGTCCAAGCTTTGAGGCACTTCTGCCTAAAGTTAAAAACTAAACATCTCATTCCAGCCGACTGTTCCAAGGAAGTGGTTTCAACCATCATTTTGACCCCATGACCGTGAACTCACCAATAGCCTTCACTATCTCCAGTTTCCACGTGGAGTTGTCAAAACTTATTTACTGCTAAATCTGTTTGTTTTTTTACACACATATTAGACGTGTCAATTTGTATTGGAATTGGAATGTTCACACATTGACATGGTACTAGCATAGCTTGACACCACCATGACCGCTGCTGAAAACATTTTGAGGATGCTTTGCAATTGTTTTTGTCTGGTGACAATGAGGACCAAGTCACTGTCCCAATCAGAGATTTGATCATATCAATTTTCATCATACACAATTTCCTTTGAGGATTTCAGCCCAAAATCAGGTTACATGTATATGTGCATACCCCCACCCCCCTTTTGCAGAAAAATATATAAAATAAAAAAATTATTGTGTTGACAACAAAGATTGATCTGTCAGCATGCATCTCTCATGACAACCCCCCCCCCCCCCCATATCCTTATGTGTAAGGTATCACACAGTGTCTCCCTTAACAACAGACACAGAAAGAAATCAATACCAGCAGGTCCATTGGATAACTTATTTTATTGACATTCAAAATATATGACACACAAATTGCAACATAAAATTCTACAGGAATGGTCAAAATAATGATTAAAAAAAAAAAAAACTTGCATAATGATATTGAAACCTAAATGAAAATAATTGTAAGTTCCTGACAAAAGTGTAATTTCAACTATGAAAATAACTAACTACTAAATAACTAATAAATTTAAAAAATATAGACAATTTGAAAAATGTTGTGGCTGCCGTTAACATCTATGGATATAAACTTGTTTATAAAATGTATGAGTGAAGTACATGGAAACATGACTGCATTGTGTACATAAGGCTACAAGAACCTGATGAATCTAATGTAATACAGTAAGCTAAAAAAAAAAAGTATCTATAAAATTAATAATGGAATAACTGAAAAACATGTCACGTCTCTAAATGACAAATGTTAAATGATCCTAGATGCTAATTATAAAATCAAGTTTTTACTCTTTCTATCTGTACATGTAATAATGACATCTGAAAATGAATCAAGAAATGAAGTCTCTATTTGACCATTTATTGATGAGCTCTGGATGTACACTTAATATTAATCAAGACTTCACCTGCCTTCAATGTTTGACCACATTATGCTACTTCTCTCTGAGAGTGATCATAACTGGCCACAATAATGATACGCTTATAAACTTATTGACTAAAATTACACCGTTATAATCTGACAGCCGCATGATAAGAATGCTTAGAGACTCTTAATGTTAAGGAGGCCTAAATTTCAATCACTCTATACCGGTAACATTGAGTAATAATTTTGTAAGATATTTGAAGATAATCCTCTATGACTGTTAAATTGATTTTGTTCATAGATTTAGTCCAAACGAGTCTGGTAGGCTAGATACAATTCCTAATTGTATGTTTTTGCATGCTGATCTCCAATACTGGACAATTTGTACATTTCATACAATGTCCCATAGTCCAAAATGACATTTTTCTGTCAAGAAGTAGTGGCTTTTCATCAAAATAGAAAACGTAGTCCAATTCCATTGGACTGACATCCTGGGATGTGTTGCTGCGAGTGGCTCGGAATGCCATCTTGATGAATTGTGAACATCTCAAAAGGATAATCAATGAACGCTGTGTGATTATTGGGTTATTGCCCTTGACGGAGAGGGCAGAATCTACTGGAGGCCATGGTTTGACATTGATCTGTGTCTGCCATGTGAGACTACACAGCAGGAAGTATGCGATCTGTGTCTGCCATGTGAGACTACACAGCAGGAGGTATGCGATCTGTGTCTGCCATGTGAGACTACACAGCAGGAAGTATGCGCCTCAAAAAGATGTCATCAGTGGATGGTGATGATTTTGTCATCCTTGTTGTGGGCAGACACTGTAAAGTGCGCAGTGTAAGACACTGTTGGGATCAGGTCGATCAATTACTGGATGTCAAGACTGCTCATCTGGCGGAGCAAATAGGCGAATCCAGAGGGTAAAGGTGAAATGTTCATTCTGGTAACTGTATGACGGGTTTGGGAAAAATGTCACTATACATCACTGCATCATGGTACCCGCAGACGAAGGTGTCAGCCTCGCTGTTCCCATCATGAGGGGTCTCAATCATCAAACAGGAAACAGTGGTCAAGGTGGCATCGGCGAATTCAGGGCAGCCTTTCACCAGGTCGAGCAGACACTGCTCATTTTTAACCTGAGGATAAGGAAGAGGGGAAAATATTAAAATTTAAATCTCTTAATTTTTATTTTTATATAAAGTTTCTGGTTTTCTGACATAAGAGTGTTATAAAGTATTTTCTACATCAATTACAGTTTAGTTAATGATTACCTATCCCTACATCAATACACAAGTGACAATTGAAAACACATGAATGCACTTACCAATAGCATTCTGATCTCATGTTCCCAGCAGAAGGACTTGATTAGTGTGTGATGGATGTGCATGGCCAGGTCATTTGTGGACAACTCAGGTAAAACGCACAACATCACTCGATTGGGGGAGCTGGAAATAGCAAACAAATAATCCATTGAACAAACAGAAGGCATGTGTGCCTTATAATTGTACAGGGTGCTATTTTCTTAAAATTGTCTTATTTATTTTAGAACATTATTTTTAGTACTTTTAAGTATTCTTTCCCCAAGCCTCAAGCATTATAAAAATTTCGCAACTGCTGTTAGATCAATGTTTTATCCATTAAGTTTCATTCTTCAAATTTTTTTTTTAATTTTTTTTTTTTATAGGAAATCCATCAGCTGACTTCTGAAGTCAATTTAAAACATTGCACACAATGAAGTCATATCTTTAAAAGGGGGCTTGACTCACCGACTGAGGAGTTTAGCACAGTCCTGGACGCCCATTGTGACACGCTTCTGACGTAGGCCTTGTTTCAAGGTTATGGCCAACGCCTCACTGATGGTCAGCCAGGTCCTGGTAAACAAAAGAAAAAAAAAATAAGTGTTAAAAAAATATATCGCCGTGTTTACTTATGGACACAAAAAAATAAACAACATCCCAAACAAGTTACTACAAGTAATTAAAGTTAAAAGTACTCAGTGGGAGGACCGAGATGGAGTCGATTCCTGAACTCTTATGGGGTGGGGTTGGCATCACGACGCCACTAATCAGAGGTGTGGATGTTCTCTAGCGGGATAAGTCACGGCACGAAGACGCCCCTGCTCGGTCACGAAGGTGCGGAGGCGGCAACGCGTTGCTTCTCTCGTAATAATGGCGCGAGTGATTCACACACGTACCGAGTGACTCACGAGACACTTGTTAGACCAGGTCACTCCCCGTGATTTCCCCCCGCTTGGATCCCAGACCCCCCCCCCCCCCACCCAACCGGACCTTTTCTACACCATCCAAAGGGTGTGTGAGCAAACAAAATAAAGGAAATTTGGGTGTGACTATGACTAGGTGCAGTACACTCATGAGTACAGTGTAGCAGTTATGTGCATAGGTGCAGTACTGTCATTACACTCATGAGTACATTGTACACTCCTGTGTGTGCGTACACTCTGTGCAGGTGCATGATGATGATGATAGCGCTGCATCCACGAAGACTAATTTAACGCGTCTTGATAAACAAGCGTAGCTTGCGTGTAACAAGGGTCGTAAATTGGTTCGAGTGTTGCAACCAAAAGCCAATGCGTTTAGGCTTACAGTGTTGCAACAGTTTCACTTATGACTTATGCATGTTTAATTGTTAACCCAAAATACGTGTTTCACAATATCCACTACACTACAAAATCATGGTACTTTACGCAGTTTGCAAGGTTTAAAAAGGTGATCATGTCCCAATAGTATAAATAGCAACGGATATCCTCCATAATTTCTTGGCTTGTAATAAATGTACTGCAGTCAGCAGATTTTTACACTGGGCAATATTAGAGGCCTCGATAGATAGATATAATAATAATATTCTCCACAACCTGCTAGAGCTAGTAGCTCACACAATAAGTTTATCAAACTTTGCACACCGCACCATCCTATGTAATAATAGAGAACGCAGCCTGTAAAACGTTCACACCAAAGCAGACTTGGTAAATCTACACACCCCAGCAGTCTCAAGACTTCCCAGGCCTCCGACCCACCCACCCCCGCAGGTTGTTTGTTACAACGCGTGAGTGAACTGCGCGAGTCCAATGGCTATATTTAGAAACAGTGGGTGGTGGGATACACGTGGACATTCATGGATGTGGGCAGTGAACATCTGGACTGGTTAAAACCAGATACCCACAATGCCCAAAGCCTGTCTCTTAGATTGCGATAATTGTAATGCACATTGCTAGAAAGTAAGGAAGGAATTTTCACAGATAACCCCTAGTCCGATGACCTATATTTGCATAATCGAAACCCTCTAACCGAATTCTTCAAAGGCGCCGATCATGTGACCAGGTTACTGCGTGATTTTTACACGCAATCATTTTCCTTGAAATTTACTGCGTGGTCAAATTCAAACATGGGTAAAAAGGTTTTAGGTATTTGCACGGCACAAATAAATGCAAAATGCTACTAAATGTGTGCTTCCTCCGTCCTTAAGAATTAAAAGTTCACTCATAAAAATGCTTATCTAGTTATTAAGTGGTCAGCTGGTGGCTAAATTCACTAATTCTAATAGTAATTGACTTACTTTTGCGTTTTTTCTCCAGTAGGATCACTTTGTTCGCCTAAGTCCTCACTGAGTTTACTCAAGGAAATTTCAGAAGACATAAGCAATGCACACTGTAGTTGGGTCTCCGTATACATTATTGGTAAAGGAATAGAACTTCGCGTGGTTGCACAAAGAACTGAGAAGTTTGTAATCCGAGTGAATAAATGCTGCCAAGCTCCGTGATGCAAACCCCACAACTGCTCGACTTACTCTAGCCCTCTGCGTTGTGTCGTGACTGTTATATTCAATGCCTCGCAACGAATGCTCGAATCCGATTGGTTGAACCGTTTGAGAAGTGTGGAGCAGCCTTCACGCTGATTGGCCAAACCTGACCGAATGAAAAGAGTCGTTGAGGTAAATGAGGTCACGTCTGACCGTCTGAAATAAAGCAAAGGAACAAGGAATTGTAATACTTTGTTGCTCTTTCTCGATAATAAATGTGTACAAAGAAGAAAATAAATCATTTTTTTTCCAAAGTCCCCGTGGAAAACTTAAGTCAAATCGATATTTACTGTGGTCGGGTGGATAAGTTTTCCGTGGTACACAACAAAGAAACGCGGAGTAGATACGCTCGATCGATGGCAGTCAGCTGTGACCTAGATACATGGAGGAAAGAGGTCAATCAGGTCTGGGCAAGTGGGGGGGATACTGTAAGGGGCTTTGTCCTCTCATCTCTTTGTCCCATACGGAGAAAGAAGTCGACGGGATTTCCTTGTTTAGTCAGTACAAAGCGCAGGGCCAACGGTAGAGCAGCAGGAAACCGAAATCAAACAAGTTTTTTTTTCTCCCTCTGGCTTGGAGCGGGGCATATCCATTTAAACAATTTAAAGATGGTGTCAAACGTTTTAAATGACAGGGGACCAGGTTGATGATGATGGAAGGTGAAACGCAGACGAGCAGTAACTCGTTCGTGGCGAGCCAACCTTGCACAGAAGAGACAGGTCGAGATTTCTTGCTTGCACAGCGACAGCTTGCGGATGTCTACTTGCAGCGTCACCGAACGGGTTCCTTGAGAAATACCCACTGCGCTTAGCAATAAATTATATCTATAAGAGTGTGTGCACGAGGTACCCAGTGGGTCACCTCTCGTGCCGATTTTGACCACTCAGAATCACATGAACGTGTGTAACGTGTACGTCGATAGCGCAGATAGGAATAACCGCAGCAGAAATTGTGTTATCGCTGCGGTAATCACACGCCAGGTGATCAAAAGAACAATCGTTTCACGCAGGGCCCAGAAATTGATCAGCTGGTACAGTCCGACACGAGCAGTGATAGCGCCAACAGGAGACTTTTTATTTTTATTTTTTTTAAACACAGAAATAGTGTGACATGCATGCAGAAGCAACACGGATCAAAAGAAACCATACTGCCCATTCGCGTGTCGTGAACCGTCGTAAAGGACAGTGTTCTAGAGATGCAATGTAACGTCCACCAGGTTGGCCGTCGTAAAGGACAGTGTTCTAGAGATGCAATGTAATGTCCACTAGGTTGGCCGTCGTAAAGGACAGTGTTCTAGAGATGCAATGTAATGTCCACTAGGTTGGCCGTCGTAAAGGACAGTGTTCTAGAGATGCAATGTAATGTCCAATTGGTTGGCCGTCGTAAAGGACAGTGTTCTAGAGATGCAATGTAATGTCCACTAGGTTGGCCGTCGTAAAGGACAGTGCTCTAGAGATGCAATGTAATTTCCACCAGGTTGGCTAACAGCAAACACACTATACTTTATACGTATTTCATTATACTTATTATTCGTGAAATGTTACGATCTTACACACATTATATGAAAATGATTGCATCCATTTGGGGACCAAACAGGTGCCCAGTAACTGCAGAGTAGAAGCAATATACTGGTACAAGGCATAATGCTCCATGGTTGGCTGCAGAGATTTATTGACGTAACTTAGCTACACTACAAGCCAATGATAAAAGTAGGCTTAGTAGGCTAGTAGGTAAAAGTAGGCTTAGTAGGCGGTGTATTGTAGCTGCTTATTAACACAAAGAAATTAGGGCACACCAGTTCAGGAAAGTTGAAACTACGTGAAATCGCTGTGACAGTGGTTCTTAAAAAGATGGGGACATGTTTTTTTTTTGGTCTGTTTTTTTTTTTTTTGTGAGAAGCATTTTAACAAAATAACGAAAATGACAATTTTATGCAGTACTGCAGTGCATGGAAATAGTCTGTGACTATGCAGTAATGGAGTGCATGGAAATAGTCTGAGATTATGCAGTACTGTCATAGATAAAAATAGTATGGGATTATGCAGTACTGCCATATATAGAAATAGTCTGGGATAATGCAGTGCATAGAAAAAAGTCTGAGATTATGCAGTATTGCAATACATGGAAATAGTCTGGGATTATGCAGTACTTAAGTGCATGGAAATAGTCTGGGATTATGCAGTACTTAAGTGCATGGAAATAGTCTAGGATTATGCAGTACATGGAAATAGTCTAGGAGTATGCAGTACTTAAGTGCATGGAAATAGTCTGGGATTATGCAGTACTTAAGTGCATGGAAATAGTCTGGGACAATGCAGTACATGGAAATAGTCTAGGAGTATGCAGTACATGGAAATAGTCTAGGATTATGCAGTACATGGAAATAGTCTAGGAGTATGCAGTACATGGAAATAGTCTAGGAGTATGCAGTACATGGAAATAGTCTAGGAGTATGCAGTACATGGAAATAGTCTGGGATTATGCAGGAATGCACTAACAGTCTGGGGGTTTGCAGGACTACAGAACCGAGAAACAGTCTGGGATTATGCAGGACAGAAGAACAGAGAAACAATCTTGGATTGTGCAGGACTGAAATGTCTAAACCATTTAAAAATAATTAAGCATAAACAGGCACCGTCAATGGGAAGCTCTCCAAACTAGGAGACCCGATCTTAAGTACGTGTTTTTGTTACCATCCTCCACCCCATCCCCACCCCGACACACACACACTTTCCTCTCTCCTTTTCTCCAAACAATTTCCCAATGGCTCGGTTCCTGCCTCGTGTAGCTATCCCCCCCCCCCACCCCAACTCTTCATGTCATCTGCCCGAATCGATCAGAATGACGCACCCGGTCGAGCAGATTTTGAGGCCAATCATTTCATGACGTGATCATTTAATAAGGAAACTCCACGGACCAGGATATGATTTACGCACCACACAAGCCTTTGTTCAGGTCGTTTTTTCAAATGTAAGGTTGAAATAAAATAGGGAAGAAGATGACTTTCCTTATGCACTTGAAACGAGGGGAGGGGAGGGGAGGGGGGGCGGAGTGACCAAAACGCAGATCAATATCACCTCACCCCTCTCCACCCCCAACCCCGATGTCCCTCGGACACGTGATCCATTTGTTTAATTTAAAAAAAAAAGTCATGTATGTCTTTATCATGGCTAATGAACTTAAAGTGGCGTAGTGGGGCGTACGGCGTACGTTATTTAGGGCTCGGAAGCCGGGTGTAGTTTTTACACCCGGTTCTGTTCGGGTATTTTAAGATAATACAGGTTGTCCGAGTCTGGGTCTTACCTTACAAAAAAGAGTTATTCGCTCATTTTCTATAATGTGTGCCACCCAATGGAGAGACGTGAAAAGTGCATCGATAGATCAGTTAGTAGCGATCACGAAGACATCCTTCATGCTCAAGGCTTCACAACACTAACAGCTAAATGATATAATCCTAACTCAGATGTTCTAAACCATTTTTAGTGCCCCGAGCCTTTTATAACATTGGCCTAACTGTCAGGGGTGACAATCCACCAGGTGTATACCTTAAAACTGAGAAATTGGTGTTGAGAGAAGAAGGGGGCAGAGCTTTTGGTGTAGATCAGAGGTCCCCAAACTGTTTTGTCCCGTAGACCACTTGCCATGTGTTTTTTTTTTCGGTTCTGGGTAGACCCCTTGCTTACCTGATATTGATTTTTTGCAAATTCATAAACTACAGATGTCTTTTTTGACAGCCGGTACGTAGTGCTACTCACTTTGATTGAAAGATTTACATTTATAACGGCTGTGAAGTGCAGTGGGGAAAACTTTTTTAAAAAAACATGTTACGTTTTTTTTTTTACATTTATTAATTAAGTTCAAATTAAAACGAACCAAATTAAAATGTACTTTCTTTTACATGAAATGACTAAGCAAAATTGATCGTGGGCCCTTAAGATATAGAAGAAGAAAAAAAAAATAAATGCTTTTGGTGTGAGGGATGAACCTGATGCTTTAATAATACATGTTCACCATTTGGCATCAATTTAGTTTGGTTTAATCTCAAATCTCCTCGGTCAATGATGTCCAGTTGGTTTCTTTTTTTTTTTTTTATAGTTGATTGGTAACCCCTTTCCACTATCGTTGACCCCCCATTTTCATGTCCTGGACCCCCAATTTTTTTTCTCGCTGACATAGACCCCTTGCAAGTTCTCGCCCACCCCTTGGGGGGGGGGGGTCGATAGAGACCCTTTTAAGAATCTCTGGTGTAGATAAAAAGGTGTTGAGAAGAGAGGGGTGGGGTAGGGCAGAGCTTGTGGCGTAGATAATAAGGTGCTGGTGCTGTAGTCAATCCCCAGAAATTTTTTTGAGAATTTTCCCCCCTCCGTTATAGTTATAGTTTTGTATATAGTTATAGTTTTTTATATAGTTATAGTTATAGTTTTTTATATAGTTATAGTTATAGTTTTTTATATATAGTTATAGTTATAGTTTTGAATATAGTTATAGTTATAGTTTTTATATAGTTATAGTTATAGTTTTTTATATAGTTATAGTTATAGTTTTTATATAGATATAGTTATAGTTTTTTTATATAGTTATAGTTATAGTTTTTATATAGTTATAGTTATAGTTTTTTTATATATAGTTAAAGTTATAGTTTTTTATATAGTTATAGTTATAGTTTTTATATAGTTATAGTTTTTATATATAGTTAAAGTTATAGTTTTTTATATAGTTAAAGTTATAGTTTTTATATAGTTATAGTTATAGTTTTTATATAGTTATAGTTATAGTTTTTTATATATAGTTAAAGTTATAGTTTTTATATAGTATAGTTATAGTTTTTATATAGTTATAGTTATAGTTTTTTATATATAGTTAAAGTTATAGTTTTTTTATATAGTTAAAGTTATAGTTTTTATATAGTTATAGTTATATTTTTTATATAGTTATAGTTATAGTTTTTTTATATAGTTATAGTTATAGTTTTTATATAGATATAGTTATATTTTTTTATATAGTTATAGTTATAGTTTTTATA